TGCTGGGCTACAGAGAGGTCCAGGATAGGGGCACTTTGAGGCTCACGACACTGTCTATCATCAGGTACAGATTTGCAATTATTTTAATACTTATTTTGAGAGAGAAGAAGAGAGAGAATCCCAAGCAGGCTGCATGCTCAGCATGGAGTCCAACATGGGGCTCCATCCATCCCACGACCCTGGGGTCATGACCTGAGCCGAAATCAAGAGTTGGATGCTCAACTGACTGAGCCACCCAGGCGCCCTAAGATTTGCAGTTATTTTAAACACTTGTCCAGCCATCCTGCTCACAGCTGAGTATCTGCCCTGGTTGACCACAGATTCCAGCCAGCTCTTGGTGGCCCAGCCTTGTTCGAGAGGGGGGTGGGGATGGGCTTTTCCCAGCGGGGAACCTGCCTGCCACCAGAGGCACGCTTTACCTCACTCTTCTAAGTTGGCCCCTCTGTCTCAGCAAAAATAAAATATTGGTTCCCACCATGAGTAATGTCCATGTAAGCTTTTAAATACTGACCACAGTCAGAAAAAACAGTCTGGTATCAAACAGTAAAGGAAGTTTACCTGCCAATTCACGATCTTCGCCCAGCTCTCACTATACATAATGTATGATTTTCCTGAAGGTGAAGAGAGCATACCTTTTTAAAATACCAAACTCCTCCGTCACTCGGGTAAAAATACTGAGACTTCTTTTCGTGGCAGCTTAACGGGAACAATAAACAGCGGCGGTTCTTGTGTTCATTGTCCTCTTTGTCACCATCAGCTGACATTGACCTTGCAGCGGCTGTGTATCCTTTCCCGGGGAGCCGCACGATGCCAGAGCCCCATCTCACTCACTTCCACGTGTTTGCCTGTTCCCTCCCCGCCCTGGGGACAAAACAGAGACCTGCAGGGAGACAGGGAGGTGCAAATGACCTATGCTTCTGGAGTGCAGTCTTTTGTGAGCCCTGAAAATTGAATTGTGTGTGCTAGCCCGCCGCCCACGAGGGGTCGAGGAAAGAACAGCTGAGGCCTGCAGGGAGAATAAAGGAAAATGCCTGGTTTCCCTGCCCGTTCAGTGGTCTGGGCTTTGCTGCCGAGGCCTTGGGATTGAGCAGTGGCTGGGGCCCTCATTCTCACCTGCAGGGAGGCCAGGCTCTGAGAGATCCCCCGAGAACAGGTGTCTGGCAGGAAGGAGACAGACCTGACGCTTTTCAGACCAGCAGCAGCCCGAAAAGCCTTTAGGAAAACTTTTATGCTTTTATGCAACTAAAAGCGATTCAGCATCTCGTTGGCGAAAATACTCCTAAGGCACGTGCTCTGTCGAGAGCAGCCCCCGAGTTTGACAAGCTGGGGGGTTTAAACGTGCACCGAAATGGGGTTCCTGCTTTCAGTAGCCCCTTTTTGTTTGTTTGTTTCTTTTTTGTTTTGCTTTTTGTTTTTTTTGTTTGTTTTGTTTCGTTTTGTTTTTTACTAGCGACTGTCATCAGTTTTCTCCTGGAACTTCTCCCGCTGAGGATTTATGGTGCTCGGATTCAGCTTTGTGGTGGAAGAAGGGCTTGCCTGCGAGGGGTGTCTCTCGTGTCAGGCGAGGTAGAGAATTCGGGATCGGAGCCCACGGCTTCCGAATGCATTTTTGATGTCTTGGGTTTCCTCAGAGGTGTGTAGGAAACAAAAATAGAATTGCTGTTTACCCACTGGCCCTCTTGCTGAGGCTGAGGATGAAAAAGGATTTGTTTTTTTTCCTTTACTGCTCAGAAAAAGACTGTTCTACCGCTTTCCCGTGCTAGGCTCTTCGTGGCCACACACACCTGTATATGCTGAGGACACAGGGCTATACTGGCAAGTGATTGCATCTGACTCAAAGCAGGTGTGACTCTGGCAGCCCTTCACCCCGCTATCTAGAAGTGGGGGGGTGGGGGCGAGCCTGCTCCTTGGCGGGTAATCTGTCGTTGCCAGGCCATTGATTCAACCAGCACCGTATTGTTATTTTCCGGCCAGAGTTCTTCAACTCTAACCTTCACGTAAAGCGTATGATCACTTAAGAACAATTTTTAAGTGGAACGTAGATAAAACATAACCAGGTTTATTTCTTACTTCTGTTAAGTATCAGATCTAAGCTTAAATGTTACTTGTACTTGGAGAAAGGTGGTACAAATACGAGTCAGTCTATCTTCGACCATCAGACTGTGTTCACAAGGAGAGCATCGTATGAGCCTGCGAACCAGGGGCAGTGGGGTCCAGCCTGTGCTGATGACTTGATTCTGTCCTGTTGTGGGGCTCACTGACTAGTTACATTCTATAAGGATTTTGTTTCCTAAAATGACATTTCTTACTCACATACTTTCTCCCATTAAAAAAAAAATTCTTTCAGGGCACCTGGGTGTCTCAGTCAGTTGGGCGTCTGACTCTTGGTTTCGGCTCAGGTCATGGTCACGCAGTTCGTGGGATCAAGCCCTGTGTCAGGCTGTGCGCTGACAGCATGGAGCCTGCTCGGGGTTCTGTCCCTCCCTCTCTCCTCCCCCTCCCCATTCGCACACACACTCTCTCTCTTTCTCTCTCTGAAAATAAATAATAAACTTTAAAAATAGGAATTACAAAAAGTCTTCCTGTTTTCCGTTTCCACAGTTGCTGTGCACTGTGTAGGTTACTTTCTCACCTCCTCCTTTCACAGTACAAGTGTCTGTTCCCTGTGGTCTGGGGAGAAGACAGTTCCGGGCGCTTAGAGGGGACACCACCGTAGGAGACAAAACAAAGCCCCCTTGCTTCTGGTTTCCCTCCAGAGGCCGCAAGGCAGTTCTGATCGCTGACCTGAAAGCTGAGCGTTCGGTGTCCACTTCCTTCAGAAGACACCGCACTTTTCCTCCGTGTAGGAGGTGGCCCCCAGTGGCAGCAGGGGCCCGAGCGAGAAAAGCAGCTGGAACCCTTGCAGGAAGAGTTGACCTGAGGGAGAGAGTTTGGGTCTCCAGTGAAGACCGAAGCAAACACGTTAATGAACAGTGTCAGAAGGGCCAGGATCATGAGAAACCGAGGGGGCAGCGGGTGTGTATTCTCCTCTTTCCTCTCTACATAGTCTTTCCATTTCCATCCGTGTGTTAAAACTATTGTGAGTGTTGATGCTTGTTCGCCATACTGTTTGGAGAACCAAGGGTTTCGTGGAAGTATCCCAATCCAACTCTAGTTGTCTTTTCATACACTCAGAAACGCTAATACTCCTCCCTAGAACCTACCAGAAAGCTCTGTGATTCCAGACCATTACTATTGCGGCTACAATGCCCTGCTCAGTCCCAAATACTCCTCCCACCCCTCGACAGCCTTGGGAGGATTTTTCCGTGCATGAGGAAACTGAGGCACAGGCAGGCCCAACAGCCTGCCCTCGGTTTTAGAGCAAGCAGGTGACGGACTCAGGGCCGGACAGTCCGACTGAGGGAGATGGTTCGTGAATTCCTCAAAGTTCTAACTCAGACTTTGTGCACTTAGACTAAATGTTTTATTCTCCTGAAGGAAAAAAAAAATATGTGTTACATTTCACCACCAGCCACATCTTCTAACTTTTCCCTGCCTTGTCAGCTGCCTGTCAGGTTTGTAAAGAAATGCAGCATGAAACTGACAGGAAGAAACTCTGACATCCATAACCACATGGCAGAATATTGAAAAATCTTCACACAGGCTTATTTTGTCATTTATTGTATAGCCCTAAACCAGCTGCCAGGGGCACAGGTGATTTAATAGGCACCATTTAGCTAATACATTATTTTGCCAAGAAAATTCATTGTGCTGAATTCTTTTTTAATCTTTCTTGGCTGCTTACTTATAAAAACAGAGTGCCTAGAAGCTCTGAATTATTTCACAGAGGGGAGAAGCCAAACAGAGAAGGCTATTAATTTAAGCTGTTTCAAATGGAAATTGTCACTCCGGAGAAAGAAATGTAGGTGGCATAAGATATATACGATTCTTGGATAAAGAGAGACACTTGAAATGGCACATTTCATGTTTGGAGGTTCAAAAGGCATCATTCGTCAGTAGGTTATTAAACTAAGTTGAGTATTTTCTAGCTTTTAAACCAGGATGATGAATACGAAAGTGTTTTTCACACTCTTAAAGGATCATGCACACCTCAGGCACACGGAGGTTTGTGCAATGCAAGTGAGGCGTTGGGCGTGTTAGCATTCTGTCGGAATGGTATTTGTACAACATTATACAGTTTCCGATCTCTCTTCAGCAGAGGACGTCCAGACATTATTTAAAATTCTCAATGTTGTTTAGAATCTAAAAGAGAGCCTTTGAATCCAATAGATTGATGTGCGCTCTTGTTTTTAATTCTCACACTTACGTAATGCTTAGACGTCGTCTGTTCAGATTTCTTCGTACAGAGGAAAATCGTGGTCACACGCCATGGAGACACACGGGTCACCTTACATCAGGGAGGCTGCATCGAGCAGACCACTAAGGCACATTTAGGACAAAGAAGAGAAAAAAAATAGGACAGTTGAAAAGTAGAGTTTTAGAAAAGGGTCTGTCTCTTGAAAGAAGAGAGAGAGAGAGGAGGCCAACGAATGACATGGTATTATTGACGAATTAATGACACCAGTATTCTGAAATGTTGGGAGACATCATTCACTGCTTCTGTAGTCACAAATGCTAGAAACAGCGTAAATGGCAGCAGTGAATTCGACGAATTACATTTATTAATGGCTATAGATTATAAATTACATTCCCTTTCCTAGAATTACATGCAACTGTGGCTAAATGAGGGAAAGCCTACAGATGTACTTATGGAATCCTGGTCTTTAGATATATTTTAATGAAAAAGAGCAAGTTACACGACACTGTTATTAGTAGAGCTACATTCTTTTTCTGCCTCCCGGGGTATGTATACATGCATGTGTGAACCGTTCTCTTTGTATATTCGTAAGGTATTTGCAAGGATATCTGAGGAGCTAATAATAACAGTTCTACCTGGGTACGAAGACTGGGAATCGGATAATAAGGTTTATTTCCTTCATGGCATTTTTTTTTTTTTTTTTACTGTTGGACTTTGTTTCTCTGTGTTCTTCTTCTTCTCCCCTGACAAAAACATTTCACGAGATACAACTTAGAGTTCAGTTTTCTACCGTTTGTCAAGATTCGCGGATAGGTTGACACATTAAAAAAAGAATGCTCACTCAAATAAGCATGCATCAGAAATCCCTGTAGGGTCTCGTGAAAATACAGACACGTGGGTCCCCTTCCAGCAGGTTAACTGGACACAGAACCCTGGAATGTGCATTTGGAATGGACCTCGGGAACCGAACCCTCAGGAGTCTGCAGTCTTCCCCCTGAGAAACACTTGCCCTGAGCTGGTAGAACTCACCAGCTCGCATGGAGACACTTCTGGCGTGAGCCATCCAACAGCCTGAAGATGCAATTCTACCATGACCGCTTTAGAAAAAAGCATCTGTGAAAAATAACAGTTATTACTCTCATTATTGTTGGATCTTCTATTGACTTCTTCCCACCAAAAGGAAGGGCAAGGATGGCCATTATATTCATCGTTTTCCCTTTGTCTGAGGGTTTGGTGATGTGGAGAGCCCTGATGTGGAAAGTCACAATGAGAAAATATTGGAAACTTGTCTTAGAAAACCGGTTTGTCTGCACGTTACCTCTAATGACGGTTGCTGAATATGTGCTGAATGGTAGCTGCTCTTAGACATGCTTGCGTGACTTTGCTTTCCCAGGCTTTTGTCATGAGACCGGTGAGCCCTGGTGGCTCAGGTCCACGGGGATTAAGACGCCAAACCATTTGGTCTCCTCTTCCCGAATCTCATGGCTGTGCCACGTGGACGTACAGCACTCCTCCTCGCGTCCTCTCTGTATTCCTTGCTTTGCAGGATGGTGGGCCCTCATCACCACTGCTCCTGGAGAAATGACACATCCCACTGTTTCTCTTCTCCCACCTGCTGCAACCGCTGCTTGCTTCTCTCCTGCTTCTCCCACCCCACGAAGAGTGGAAGAGGATGTTCATGAGCTTCCACGAGTCATCAGAACTTTGGTTGTGCTACCAGGCAGAGACGTAGGTCTTCTAGTTTGCAGACTGTTACCCATGGATCGGATAATTGCCCTGAGGATATCTGAGTGGCTTCATCCTGGCTTAGCATCACACAAAACATTCCCTTCCATTCCTGAACCCATGTTTCTTTTTTTTTTTTTTTTAAATATATGAGGTTTATTGTCAAATTGGTTTCCATACAACACCCAGTGCTCATCCCAAAAGGTGCCCTACTCGAGACCCATCACCCACCTTCCCCTCCCTCCCACCCCCCATCAACCCTCAGTTTGTCCTGAACCCATGTTTCAAACTAAGCCCAAGTGTCGGGACATTCATGTATCGCAATATGTCCGTGAGGTCTCTCTCAGCACTCTAGGACTTGGCCATCTACCCCAAATCTTTTTCGCATTTTACTCAGGATGTCTCCTGGAAACAGGTTGCCAGGTCACTGTCTCTGATAACCTGGCATTCCCAGATTGAGCACATAGATTAGCCTCTCAGGTTTCTAGGAACTTACTATCATAGGGTATATTAAAACAAGTACACCATTTTCCATGCAATTGTTATCATTCATTGGGTTGCCAAGGTAACAAGCACCATGTGAACCATTAGAATCTGTATGGATGTAGCTGTTGAGTCGTTAATACTAAAAACTATGCATTATTCAGCAAGCTGTTCTCTCTACTTACCTAATGATGTAGCTTTTCTTCTCTAAGAGGACAAGTGATGGTCTCCCAATTTGATGGGAAGCATATTTAATAAGATAGACATCAGTAAACAGAATGGATTTGTGCCAGAAAAGCTGCCTGTGTACTAAATTCTATTTTCCTGTTGATGTCATCATAAGATTGGAGATTCTATTCTGTGATTTTTTGGGGGCTTTTCCTCATAAAAGATCATTTGCAGTTAATACTGCAAACTTGAAAAAAAACACAGAAAAAAGGAAAATTTGTATTTTTACAGGAGCACTAATATTTAGGTAAATAGCAAGTTGTAAATACAAGATTTCTCAGGTTATTATTATTATTATTTTGCCCCAACAGGTTAAGGGTTGAAAGAGGGAAAAAAGATAGTAGCTCTTGCAAAGAATTCTGATTGATCAACTTTAAATGGATAATTGTTTCCTTTTAAGTATTCTATAGTAGAAGAGTTCAGAGTTCTGTTTGCTCAGCCCTGTTTCATTGCAAGTGAATAAGCTAAAAGCACATTAAAAGATGCTATGGCACCGTGAATAAATGCCAAACGGTAAACAGAATACATGTAGATCACATCACTGTGTGGTGTTACACGTCAATTACATCTCAATAAAACTAGGGAAAAAATTAGAAATAAAAAAAAATCTTAAAAGAAAAAAAAACCAGCCCCAAACAAAAATAGGCATTCAGATTATAGCAGTTGTTATACATTTGGAAATCTTGACACAGTGGAGCCTGAAAGCATTCTGGGAATTTTAGGGTTTTGTACATAGGGCATAATAATGGCAAATACTTGGAAATTAACTGCAACCAGGATGTTAAAACATCCATCACGTGATTGAGAATGCCTTCCTTTAAAGAGCTTATTTGTTGGAAGTAAAAATTCAAAAATATTTCCTAATCATCCTTTTTAAATTATGTATTTATTTATTTATTTTTAAATTTACATCCAAGTTAGTATATAGTGTAATAATGATTTCAGGAGTAGAATCCAGTGATTCATCCCCTATGTATAACACCCAGTGCTCATCCCAACAAGTGTCATCCTTAATGCCCCTTGCCCATTTAGCATCCCCTCCCCAACCGATAGCCCCTCCAGCAACTGTCAGTTTGTTCTCTGTATTTAAGAGTCTCTTATGTTTTGTCCCCTCTTTGTTTTTATATTGTTTTTGCTTCCTTTCCCTTATGTTCATCTGTTTTGTATCTAAAATTCCATGTATGAGTGAAGTCATACGATATTTGTCTTCCTTTGATTAATTTTGCTTAGCATAATACCTTCTTGTTCCATCTATGTTGTTGCAAATGGCAAGATTTCATTCTTTTTGATTGCTGAGTAATACTCCATTGTGTGTGTGTGTGTGTGTGTGTGTGTGTATATATATATATATACACACACACGTGTGTGTGTGTGTGTGTGTGTATAAACACACACCACATCTTCTTTATCCATTCATCCATCGATGGACATTTGGGCTCTTTTCATACCTTGGCTGTTGTTGATAGTATTGCTGTAAACATTGGGGTGCATGTGCCCCTTCTAGACAGCACACCTGTATCCTTTGGATAAATACCTCTTAGTGCAATTGCTGGGTTGTTGGGTAGTTCTCTTTTTAATTTTTTGAGGAACCTCCATACTGTTTTCCAGAGTGGCTTCACCAGTTTGCATTCCCACCAGCAGTGCGAAAGGGTTCCTCTTTCCCCACATCCTTGCCAACATCTGTTGTTGCCTGAGTTAATTTTAGCCATTCTGACAGGTGCCAGGTGGTATTTCATTGTGGTTTTGATTTGTGTTTCCCCGATGGTGAGTGATGTTGAGCATTTTTTTTCATGTGTCTGTTAGCCATCTGGATGTCTTCTTTGGAAAAGTGTCTATTCATGTCTTTTGCCCATTTCTTCACTGGATTATTTGTTTTTTGGGTGTTGAGTTTGATAAGTTCTTTTTGATTTTGGATACTAACCCTTTATCTGGTATGTCCTAATCATCTTTTGATTAAATAGTCAAGGACTTGATTAGTTCCACCTCATACCATATTGAGTTGACAGTTCCATCCTAGATCTGGGGATAAACGCATCAGCCCAGTCCCCACTCACAAGGAACTATGAATGCAGCAGGAAAGCTAGAAAACAAACACACACTCGTAACAAAGTGATTAATGCCAGAACAGGAGAAATTAAGGGTCCTATGTTATTGGTTCTGAGGAGTGTCACAAAAAAAAAAACACTATAAATGTAGCTTTTTTGCTTAACTATAGGCAGGTCCCTAATGCAGAGCATGAGATTTAATCATCCTCAATTAAGAAGGGAAACATCTTTAGAAATGAAAGAGTAATGAGCCTGTAACCAATAGCATGGTCAGCAAATTATAAGCCTTTGCATTGAAGTCTTCCCGGCCTCCTGCCTTGATTATTACAGTGTTTTTCCAACCCGTTTTCCTGTCTCAGGTCTCTCTGGCCCCCATCATTCATCTGTTTATGCACATTCATCCAAGTCCATTATCTCCTGTGCCCTAGATATTATTCTGGGTGCTACTTGCAGTGAAATGAAGTTCCTGTTCTCAAAAGGCTTACGTTATAGTGGGAGGCAGGGCAAGGAACAAACAATAAACTGAATCGCTAAAATAGTAATAATTTCCACTTAAAACAGGTGCTGTCTAAGGGGAATAAGTGATTTTAACTGGGGTTACTTTGGAGCATGTCATCAAAAGAGGCTTCTCTGAATAGGTGGCCTTTAAGCTGAGACATGAATGCAAAAGGTCAGAGATCAGAGCATTCCTGGCAGAGACCAAGCAGTTCCCTATCCCCAGGTGAGAACAAGGGAACAATATGACAAGTTCAAGCAAAGGCTAATGGGTGGGGAGGGTCCACTAGTTTTGCAGAGGGGTTTGAGTTTTGTTTAGAGTAAAGGGAAGTCATTGGGGCACTTAAGGCAGACAAGTGCTAGCATATGATCTGTGTTTTTAAAGGCATATTATATAATAGGGATGCCTGGGTGGCTCAGTCGATTAAGTGACTGACTCTTGATTTCTGCTTAGGTCACAATCTCATGGTTTGTGGGGTTAAGCCCACATTGGGCTCTGTACTGATAGCATGGAGACTGCTTGGGATTCTCTCTCCCCTTTTTCTCTCTCTGCCCCTCCCCCTGCTGGCTGGCTCTCTCTCTCTCTCTCTCTCTCTCTCTCTCTCAAAATAAATAAATTTAAAATAAGGATATTAGATAATAAATACCCATGAGTCTAAAATAATTAAATAAATGATTGAATAAATAAATAAAGGAAAGGGGACACATATTTCTGACACATAAATTCCAAACAATAAATGTAGATCTTTCCTCTGAGTTCCTGGCTGGCTTTAGTGACTTGTTTCTAATGAACAGAATATAGAAAATGGAAAAAACAGTAGTAGTTCTGGAGTGGAGAAACTCGTAGACACAAAAAGATCTAGTGATGAAGGTTGACATCACCAGATGTAAGTTATGGGAATTCTGTGGGTATTAGGACCTTTATTAGAGGAGGCATCCCTTCTACCATATGCTGACTCAACAAGAAGTCAGCAACCCAGAAAGGATCCTTACCCACCCACACTTGTATCCTGACCTCAGGCTTCCAGCCTCCAGAACTATGGGAAACAAATTTCTGTTGTTTATAAGCTTCCTGGTCTGGGGTATTTTGTTATAGCATCCCGAATGGGCTAAGAGATTCACCCCTGATAAGGTGTGATGAGAAAGACATTTCACTTCTGTAATCACCCTCAAGTCCATGACCATGAGAAAACAGAAAAATTGAGGTATATTATACAAAACGTCTGGCCAGGGTTCTCAAAACTGTCAAGGTCATGAAGAATTAAAGAAAGACCAAAAAGCTGTCTTGGGTTAGAGAAGACTGTGGAGGTATAACAACTAAATACAACATGGTATCCTGGATTGGATCTTGAGATGGGATAGTAGTGGGAAAATAGGTGAAATTCAAATACGGTTTGTAGCTTAGTCTGTAGGAATGTGTCCATTTCTCAGCTTTGATGAAGGTACCATGGTTATGAAGATAGTAACAATGGGAAGGTAGGGTGAAGAGTATTCAGGAATTCTCATATTAGCTTCATAACTTTTCTGCAAATCTGAAATTATTCCCAAAAGAACTTTTTTAAGGAAACACACAAAAAGGAGGATTTTAGCTTCTCTGTAGTGAATAGACTGAGGTTGGGGTATAAGAGTATAAGTGGGGGAGCAGTGAGGACCTAGGCTGGTGGAACATACAGATGGGAGATGGTGGTGGCCAGAGACAAGGCTCCGGGTGGGAATGGAGGGAGGGGCATAGACATGGTGCTATTTTCAAGTAGCCAAGAAAAGACACAGTGGCAGACGGGATGGCAGTGACAGAATGTGGAGAATGAGCTGGCAGTGGGGGAGATGCTGAGATAAGAATTGTGTCCTAGAAGATAGATATGATGATGTCAGTTTTCATTTCAGAAATCTTCACTAATTTCCCCTGAAAATATAATAAAAGAGACCAAACTCTTCATCCTGACCTACCAGATCCTCAATAATTCAGTCATGAATTATAGTTATTTTTTTTAATGTTTGTTTATTTATTTTGAGAGAGAGAGACCGAGAGAGAGAGAGAGAGAGAGAGAGAGAGAGAGAGAGAGAGAACCCCAATTAGGCTCCATGCTGTTAGCGCAGAGCCCAACTCCGGTCTCAATCCCACAAACCATGACATCATGACCTGAGCCTAAATTAAGAGTTGGATACTCAACCGACTGTGCCATCCAGCTGCCTCCCTAATTACAGTTTCTAATACCTTCCACGCTGGATCCTCTACACATCTTGCTCCACACATAGACACATCTACCTGATGTCCCATCCACAAGGCTTTTCAGATCCTGCTGGAGTTAGTCTTTCACCTCTTAAAATACCAGAACACATTTACCCTGGCTTACTAGATGATGGTGATGATGATGATGATGATGGTGGTGATGATGGTGATGATGGTGATGGTGATAATGATGATGATAAAGATAAACAATAGAACACCTTTTTGATAAAGTGTCATATTTTATGCTAAGAGCTTTATCTTCATCCACCACATTGATGCTCAACAATATTTGTATAAGGAAAGTGTTGTACTTATTCTTGGTCTGCACTTGGGGAAGCTGATTTGGGGGGATGGAATGGCTATATAATTGATGGTCCAAACTGAAAAGGGGCACTGTCCACACTTACTCTAAAACAGTAAGTGTCAACCAAGGCTGTTCAGGAGAACCCTGGATGCCTGATCCTGCCAATGCCATGAAGATCAGTGTGCCAAATGCTGCACAATTAGCAAGTGACCCAGTAGAGC